AATCTTACTTCCAAATGAGGTTGCATTCTGAGGTTACCGGTGGATATGAACTTGGCGGGAACACTATTGAACCCAATACATCACCTACTTTAGCAGATAATCCTATTGTAGGCTGAACTAAAGAATCTCGAGTTGGTAGTTCTGTATGTTCTATGCAGATGTAGGACTTTTTTTTTGGAGACAGTGTCTCACTTTGTTGCCCGGGCTAGAGTGCTGTGGTGTCAGCCTAGCTCACAGCAACCTCAAACTCCTGGGCTCAAGCAGGAGCTCCCAAATAGCTGGGGCTACAGGCATGTGCCACCATGCCCGGCTAATTTTTTCTATATATATTAATTGGCCAATTAATTTCTTTCTGTTTTTAGTAGAGACGGGGGTCTCACTCTTGCTTAGGCTGGTCTCGAACTCCTGAGCTCAACGATCCACCTGCCTCGGCCAGATGTAAGACTTTTAAAAGGGAGAAAGATCTCCTGAGAATAGCCCATCTAAAAAAAAAAAAATAAAAGGGAGAAAGAAAATTGTCCTTTTTTCTCTTTTTTTCCAGAAATGAAGCACTTGGGCTCTGGGTTTTCCCCTGTTTTTATTACCTTGTTAAAGGACGAGCAGAAACAGGTGCCTGAGAGAGTGACAGCATTGTCACTGTCTCACATGCCTGGACAGGCTCTGTGCTCATAGATCCTAATGACCCTGCTGAGCTTCCCAGCCACCCCTCCTCCAAACATTAACCAATAAAAGTTTGTGAGGGACCCTTGAATTCTGAGTGAGGACATGGTAGGGGTGGAGGAAACTATCTATGATTTTCTCCTCTTCCTTAAAGAGTTACAGTCAGTTCCTGTTTTGGCATTTAATTTTTCTTTTTGGTTTAAACAACAGGCATTTATTTCTCATGTTCTGGAGGTTGGGAAGTCCAAGACCAAGATGTTGATAGATTTGCTTCCTGGTGAGGGCTCTCACTGACTTTCAGATGATTACCTTCTCACTGTGTCCTCGCATCGTAGAGAGAAAGAGGGGAAAATCTCTGGTCTGTTCTTAGAAGGGCACCAATCCCATCATGAGGACCCCACCCTCACACCATATCTAAGCCTAATTACCTCCCAAAATCTTTATCACCAAGTGCTATCACATTGGAGGTTAAGGCTTCAACATACGAATTTTGGGGAAACACAATTTGGTCCATACCAGGGTACATAATGTAATGTGGTTGTCATCTCCTGTACTCAGAAAACATGAAGGCAGCAATGAATTTAATGTTGATAGGAAATTATTCCAATTACCTTTTTCTAGCTGGCTTTCCCTATTTGCTTAAAATATAAGGATTTCAGGAGATGTCTAATGTTATATCCCACACATTTTTTACTTTTGAAGATTTTTAACGAACTGTGAAGAGTCAGAATAACCTTCTGTTTTTTTTCCAGTCCATTGAGAAAGGGCACTTCAATTTCTAAGCCCAAGGCAAACATACTTATTTTGTCTTTCCCTCTAGCCAATATAGTTAAAAATCATTAGCTTTAAGCCATTCAAGCATTTTCAATCAGGACTCATCTTTCAAGAAGGTATAGCTATTTGTTTCTGCCTGAACTTTATGAATTGAAAGATTTTTTTATAGCAGTGGCTTTTCATAAATCCATGCCTTTATTTAACCAAGAGGACAGTCCTAAGAATCTGTGCTAAATCATAAATGAAAAAAAAACTATACAGTTACAAGTTCCTGACATTTATTTCATTCTGGGTCACTTTTGGATAGTTTTAGATGGAGCTTAGGCATTTCTGGGATTCAAAAAGGGTACTTTTTTCCTTTTACTTGTCATATTTACAATTTTAATAGCAACATGATTATTTCTACTATTTTCTGCATATTAGGCTCTAGGTTCTAATTTCTAGCTTATAAACAATCTAGAAAATAGTAATATTATATTTAGACCTCATATAGTAATCAGCTTTTATGTACTTTGTATACTAGGAAGTAAAATCTTGTCAGAGAGGAGGCAAATCATAAGAAAACAGACTGCTATCGCTTCTCGGCCTTTTGGCTAAGATCAAGTGTGAAAACAGACTGCTGTGTAGCATTGGGCAAATGGTTAGATTAATGACATCCTATTCTTATAAGGACACCAGTCATATTGGATTAAGTCCTCCCACCAGAATGACATTATTTTCACTTACCTCTTTATAGACCTTATCTCCAAATACACTAATATCGTGAGGTACTTACTGGGGGATAGAACTTTAACTTATTTTGTAGGGGATGCAATTAAGCCCATAATATGCCCTTAAGGCTAGAAAAACAAAGGGAGGGGGTTGAAATTACTAACCAATAAAAGCTTAGAAAAAGGGCCCTGCATGACTAAAACTCAGACCTTTGAGGAACAGGGGGAGTTGATCTGGTGCTTGTGTTTCTGAGCTGAAAAACCTAAACCATAGCACAAATTTCAGATATAAATATGGACTTGTGTTACCCACCAAGATGGAGTAAAAAGTACTAGATTTACTCTCCTCTCTCAAAAAACCAAAAACATAACGCAGACAAAAATACATGAAGCCAGTTTTTAAGACATCAAGCAGTAAAGGACAGTAATCTTGGAAAAGTGAGAAACAGATGAGTTGAGTCCTTTGATTTACCCAATTTACTGAACTGAGAGGGTCTGTGGCCAAGAGAGGGGGCACCCAGGCAGATCCTAATTCTCTATGTTGAAGAGACAGAGTCAAGAGTCTGAGGAGACTGAGGCAGCTAGAATTTGCAGGACAGAGTGCCAGAAGTGAGGGAGCTGCCCCAAAGAGAACTCTGGAGATCTGGAGAGGGTTTCCCTCAAGTATTCAGGAGAATACAGCTCAGCACATGCATGTGAGGAAATGATACAAAGCTGGGGAAAGCAACATTAAAAGGATTAGCGAGAAGGACGCATAACACACAAGGCCAGAGTAAGTGCTGTCCTACCAAGCCAGACTGGAGAGCTCATGATTCATGGCACACTAGGGTCAGTTCTGAGCAAGGACTTGCCTCAGTGATGGGGAATAATTCAGTCTAGACTGAGCCTGGCTCTGGTCATTTCTAATAAGTCTTAAAAGCAAGACTGGAAAGGATCCAACCATTTCCAAGTAACTTCACTGTACCTGAGAATATTTACAGAGAGAAAAAACTATACAGGGCTCATCAAGGTGAAATTTACAACTTTACCTGGCATACAAAAAAGGCAGAAAAAAATGATGCATAATGGGGAGAAAATCAATCAATTGAACCAGATCAAGAACTGATACAGATGTTAGAAGTAGAAGTAAAGGATATTAAAACCAGTTATTATGACTGTATTTAGTATGCTCAAAAAGTAAAATAGAGATATGGAAGAGATTTTTTAAAAAGACCCAAAGTAAAATTCTGCAAATATAGATGACAATATTGTCATAATAACTTTATTTGTAATAGCCAAAAAATGGAAACAATCCATGAGCCCAGCATCAGATGAACCATAAACAAACTGGCATATCCATACAATGAAATGCTGCTCAGCGATAAAAGGGGCAAGCTATTGATACTTGCAACAACATGGATGAACTTCAAAATAATTATGCTAAGTGAAAGAAACCAGACAGAAAGAGAACATACAAAACATAAATTTATCTACAGTGATAGAAAGCAGATTAGTGGTTTCCTGGAGATGAGAGCGGGCAGGAATTACAAGGGATTATGAAGAAACTTTCCAGGGGATGATAGATTTGTTCATTATCTTGATTATGATGATGATGGTTTCATGGGTTTCAGGATGGTATACATTTTTCAAAACTTAAAACAATGTATACTTTAAATATGTGATGTCATGTCAATTTACCTCAATACATTTTTTTTAAATATAAAAGTATTTAGAGCTTGTCTCAAAACTGATCTCTTTCTGGAAGTTACTACACACTAATCTGTATATATGCTTAATTTATACTCTGAAACATTAACGTGGAGTTGCCAAATCAGTGACTTGCTTTGATATTGTTTTTCTACCCATAAACTCTGAATAGGAACACTGGCTAGCATTTGCCTTCAACTTTGTTTCAGTGAATCTTCTCTTCTTGACAGGAGTTTTTCCAGCCTCTATAGCCTCATATAACATTTGGAGGGTGAGACACTTATTTAACTCCTACATTCTCACCAGGTGGGTCAATGGAAAAAAAGTATGGAGAAGGAATTGTCTTGCTGAAATTATGCTACAACTAAGTAGACACACCTAGAAATAAAGTGATCCCTGCACAGTCATGGTCTGCTCTCAGCTTTCTAGCATTGTATCGTCCTCTGGAATTGTACAGTGTCTTGCGCCTGTAAATCTTCCTGCTCTCCCATGAAATACTTGATTTTACAACATCCATGTAGAGAAAAGTTACAATAATCATTGTCTGCTGACCTCACTAAGGTCAACAACAGATCTTTTTAATCAATCTTTCTCTCTTCTTATCTCTTCCTTTGTTAAATAATTCAGGATATACCTAGTGAACACTTAGTACCAGGCACACTTAGCTGGCATATACTTCTAGAGCCTTGTTGTTCAGAGTGTATTCAGCAGAGCACAGCATCTGTGTCACCTAGGAGCTTATTAGAAATGCAGGCTCTCAGTCCTCCAGACACACAGGATAAGTATCTGCATTTTAACAAGATCCTTTGGTGATTTGTATGTACGTTTAAGAAGTTCTGTTCTAGAGAATTCTCCTTAGCTCTACCATTTAAATACTGCTATGACTTTGAGAAAGTAACTTCACTTGCCTAAGTCATTAACAAATGGGGGAATGGGAATGATAGTGGAACCCACCTCATATATGTTGGGGGGATTTAATTAGACAGCCTTCTAAAGCCTTAACACACTGGCTGGTACCTAGTAAGTACCTTTAAAAAATTTTTCCATATTATTACTACTATTATTTTGTAGTTAAAAGAAAAAACAAACTTTTTAATAATACATCTTTTGTAGCCACATCCCCTCGAATTCATTTATGTATTCATAATGCGACAGGTATTATTTCAACAGGCATGAAAAATAAATACAACACTTGATCCTAGATTGGAACCTGAAGAAGAAAGAGAAGGAAGGAAAGGGAATGCCTTAGCTCGGACTGTCATAACAAAGTGGATATTTGGTAAGAATGCTATAGAAATGATGCCATTTTCCTCTTAATGCCTCGTATTGGGAGGCATACAATATCTATGTTTCTCATTTGCAATGATATTAACTTTTATCACTTGGTTAAGATGATATCTATGATATTTCTGCACTGTAAAGTTCATTAATAAGTAACTAATAGATGTTTTGTTGGGATTTACTTTGAGATTGTATACATACATATCTTTTTGCTCATTAAAATTTTACTGAGTTAACATCTATTGATAGCTTTTTCTGAATCATTTATTATAGTGATGGGTGCTGAATGTTATTTTCTAGTTCTATCATTCTTTTCTTTTTCTTTTTTCTTTTTTTTTTTGAGACAGAGTCTCGCTCTGTTGCCCAGGCTAGAGTGCTGTGGCATCAGCCTAGCTCATAGCAACCTCAAACTCCTGGGCTCAAGCAATCCTGCCTCAGCCTCCCAAGTGGCTGGGACTACAGGCATGCGCCACCATGCCCAGCTAATTTTTTCTATATATTTTTAGTTGTCCGGCTAATTTCTTTCTATTTTTTAGTAGAGATGAGGTCTCACTCTTGCTCAGGCTGGTTTCAAACTCATGACCTAGAGCAATCCTCCCGCTTCAGCCTCCCAGAGTGCTAGGGTTACAAGGCATGAGCCACTGTGCCCGGCCAGCTCTAGTTACTTTTTCACCTAGCCATCTAACCAGGTCCATTGCTAGTAAAGTATCATGTTCCTTATTTTAACAACAAATTTTTGAAATCTTTGAAATAAAATTCCTGCTTCTTCCTCTCCATAGAAATGCAAAGTCAAATTTTTGGAAAATAAATTGCTAATTTTTTTTCCTTCAATAATTATATATTGGACTTCTCTTCAAGTATTTAAATCATTTTGGGAAGGTCTTTGTAAAATAGTGAATTTATTCCATGAGAAGAGAACCTTAGCATGGATGAGATTCTAAATAAGTCTAGGGGACAGTTTGACAGCAAGAGAGGACATTTTTCTCTCCCTAAGCTGCTCTCGACAATGGAAATTTAACCAGGCTAATCAAATGTGACTTATATCATCAAAATTAGTAAGGCATGAAAGACCTTTATCAGATCATTCATTTCATTGCCTGTTTAAAAATATGATCTCGTTTACCTTCTTAATAGTGGCCACTTGGTGCTCCCTCTGCAAAGTGAGGGTTTCAGATTTTCAGAACGATGTTAAATAAACCAGGATTTTCTAACCTCCATGAAAGTCATTTAATATCCATGTTTTCAAAGGAGCTATTGACTTACATTTGGGCAGTCCCATTATTAGAACTCTTTCTCTTGTACTCTTTTTAACTTGAGTAGTTTGTCAGTAATTTAGTGCTCCTTTCACCAAAGGTCATATTCTTTCCCCAGTATATATCTTCTTGATTTTGTATAACCCTTATGTATAAAAGGGAAATCTCTAATACTCCCAGTAAGCATAAGTTAAATAAGGCAAAGAAGGTATGCAAGTATTTCTAAATTTACTTATAGTTTAACCCCCTTTTCCTTTTGTATTCAACAAATACAGCCATCAAGTCCCAGATGTTATAATACACCTAGGGACACAAGTTGATGTATTATATTCCTTTCACTTTAAGCTTTGTTTTATTTTTCATTCCCAGACACTGGTGAGTTTTTAAATCAACCTCTAATTTGTTCAAGAAGTCATTCATTTTTGTAATTAGTCATTATACAGTGGTGTTTGCCCCATTTATGTCTCACTTTTTATAATTTAACAAGGAGTTTCTAGCTAAAGAAACCTCAGTGAGCTTGTTTTTGATTTAAGAAAATGCACATTTCATCTAATTGGTGAATCAATCTTTGTCTTTTAGATAGCTTCCCAAAGCACAGAGTCTAGGGAATAATTTTATACTTGCTAGTTTTGATAAAAATGTTTCTATGAGCCTTTAGAAATAAAATGCATATTTAGCTGGCTATCTGTGGTTTGGCAGATGTGTTACTGAAATCTAGTACTTAGTTTTAAAGGTGAATTGTCAATGAGTTACAAGGTTTTCAACCAGTGTTCCTAAGAGGAATGTGCAAGTCCACAAACATCAGAAGTTGGCACATACCACGTGAAGAGAAGAGATAGTATCAGGCTTTGAAGGACGGGATAAAAATAAGTGGCTAATATCAAATGGTTCTGGGTTTTCTAGTGGCTGCTAGACTCACGTGCATTTAATTATACAAAATTATCTATACTAAATCAATGCATATATTTGCGAGGAAGTGAGATTTATCAGAAAGAAAGTAGATTTGGCTCCTCTAGATGCTGGATTGATATGGACCACCTTACTTAACTCTGTTTGTGTGTGTGTGTTTGTGTGAGCTTGTGTCTTATTTCTCTCATTTTATAAAATTCTGGCTACTTTTATGTTGTAATGCAGCATGATACGGACCAGAGCTGTATAGTAGAATTTTCTATAATGATGGAAATGTTCTATATTTGCAGTGTTCAATATAGTAAACACTGGGACTCACATGTACATTTTTTTTTTTTTTTTTGAGAGATGGTCTTGCTCTGTCATCCAGGCTGGAGTGCAGTGGTATGATCATAACTTACTGTGATCCTGAACTCCTGGACTCAAGTGATCCTCCCACTTGAGCCTCCCAAGTAGCTAGGACTATTGGTGTGCATCACCATATCTGGCTAATTTTGTTTTTATTTTTTGTAGACACAAGGTATCACTATGTTGCTTAGGCTAGTCTTGAACTCCTGGCCTGAAGTGATCCTCCCACCACAGCCTTCTAAAGTGCTGGGATTACAGACATGAGTCACCATGCTCAGCCTCCTGTGTGCTTTTTGACTTTGTGGCAATTATCAATGTTGACATCAAACACGATTTACAGAAAATCCATATTTATTCCAAAGGAACACCTTTATTTTGTTTGGATAAACAATTGTTCTGTGGTGGTCAAATATACTCAAAATAATTATGCCATTAAAAGTTAATATTGATGTCATTTTTAAGTCAATGTGACTAATGCAAATGAGTTATATAATTTTTATTTTTAACTTAAAATTAACTTAATTTTAACTTAAAAACCTCATCTTTTAACTTAAATTTAAATTACCACATATGGCAAGTAGCTACTATATTGGATAGTGCGGTTATAGTCATTGACATACCAGAAATATTTCCTTTGTAGGCACAAGTAAGAACTGCCAGTTTCACGTGCATTGTCGAGGAGTAGCTACTAAATACTTGTATTTCAGATGTATAACAACAGAATGCTCTCCACTCTTACACCACAGTAAACTGTACCACTGCTCCGTATCTGTAGCACTGATTTGAAATGTATCGTATGTTTTATGAGCTTTTTCTTTTTCTATGTCTTTTCTCCATGACAAGAATTGATAACCTTTGGGTTCTTTGTATTTTTTCTGTATTTAACACAAGTTTATTGAGCATCTATTATGTGTCAGGCACTGTCTTGGTGCTGGATATGCAGCAGTGAATAAGACTGATCACTCTCACTGAGGCTACCTTAACATATAATTATGTAAAATTTATTTGAATATGATTTTGATAAGGTTTTAGTGTATTTACCTAGAAAGAGCTAACACAAATGTTGATTGGTTGAGAATTCTCACTATCCACAAATCCTGTTTCTATCAGGCATTGACCCTGATGACTTTAACAGGGCTCTCGTCAGTTTAAATTCGGTGTGGGAGTGGGGAAAATAGGAGATGGCAGGGCAGGGGGAGCAAAATAGGAATGACATTATCTTCTTTTAGTTATCCATAAGTCCACTTGAAAGGAATCTCCTTGCAGGAAAGGTTTAGCCTGTCCTTTCCCTTCCTCGACCCTCTGTTACCCTGTGTCCTCAGAACTCGGGCTTGCTTCAGGTGGGCATTACTAAAAAAAAAAAAAAGAATCTTTGTAGATTTTTCCTATAGTATTGTTTTAGACTATATGAAGAAGTTATTGATCTTTTATGCTTTTATAGTCTTTTTTTGCTTACTTTGTTCTTTTTTTCCCCCTTCAACCAATTAAATGCTTCAGGTGTTCAGATTAGAGTGGCTGAAATCATGGAGCCATCATCTCATTTCCTTCTTCATTTCCTTCTTTTTCCCCCTCTTGGCCTTTGCTATGGTTTGAATGTTGGTGCCCCCCCCCAAATTCATATGTTAGAACCTAATACACACTGTGACAGCATTAAGAGGTCAGGCCTTTTGGGAAGTGATTAAGTTATGAGGGGCTGCCCCCATGAATGGGATTAGTGCCCTTATAAAATAGTTAAAAAGGAGTGTCCTTGCCCCTTCCACCATGTGTGGACACAGTACGAGGCACCATCTGTGAAGAACAGGCTTTCACCAGACATCGAATCTCTAACACCTTGATCTTGGACTTCCCAGCTTCTGGAATTGTGAACTGTAAGAAATAAATTCATATTGTTTATAAATTACCTAGTCTAAGGTATTTTGTTATAACAACCAAAATAGACTGAGCCAGTCTTTTTTCTTATTTTTCCATTAAGTTTGAGGTAGAACATGAAGAAGGGAACAGATGATCAGGCTTGTGAGGTACATAATTCCAGTCTATTTTTCTCTAATTTCTTCTCTTCCCTTTAAACCATGAATCCTGAAAAACCTGAATTTTTCCTTGGCTGTGTTTCTTACTTTTTTTTTGAGTCAGGGTCTTACTTTAAACTACAGTGGTGCCATCACAGCTCACTGACACCTCAAATTACTGGGCTTAAGCAATCTTCTTGCCTCATTCTCCTGAGTAGCTGGGACTACAGGCACATACCACCATGCCTGGCTGATTTTTTTCTGTTAATTCTTGATTAAATCACATTCTATATTTATACAAAAACAATTTAATGTTCTCTGACAAACTGTACATATAGAAACAATTGGACATTAAATTAAATATGTGGAGGTGCTCCATTCCTCATGATATTAAAAAAAATGATTCCAGCTTTTAGTAGAGATGGGATCTTGCTCTGTTGCACAGGTTAGTCTCAAACTCCTGACCTCAAGCTTTTCTCTGG